TCAAACTTCATTAGTCTTTTGCCGAAGCTCTGACTCTTGCACAGGATCGGGAACATTGGAAGCACTGTATGACTCGTCTGCCTCCGCGATCCGAAAGGAGAAGCGGCGATGGAAGATGAAGATGAAGAGATTATTAGTATAGATGGGATGGGTGAGTGAATTATTTTTGAAGCATTTAGGCTATGCAGGGTCGGGCTGCCTCCCTCTTCTACAGTCAACGACGGAAAAGCTTTACGGTTGATGCCATGTGCGAACCATGCAAAAATGAAATTCGGTTGAGGACAGTATTGTTGTAACTGCCCTGAGTTAAAGGTGAAACCGACCGTGCTTTAGTGCAGCCAGCACTGAAATTGTCAACAATTCGTTTTCCCGCAAAGCGATGGTGCAACATTTGGTCTCACAGCTTACTATACTTCTCAACGCGTCTTCAGTATCTTCAGCCGCCTGAATCTCGTTGATAGGTGACTCAATCTTTCAGAGACGAACCCAAATTATACCCGTGGAAAATCAAGATACCTACTTTCCAAATTTATGCATCACAAAAGAGAAAGGCGGTTTTATGTCCACCATTTTCCAGGGAACTCTTAATATCATAACTATTCATTGACAATTTCTGTTGCTGATATCTCCTGTAGAGTTTTGAAATTAAACTGCACTTAAAAAGCAGAAACGTAACGTAATACTTACCATTTAGAAAGGGTATAATCAGGTATGAAAATTCTGTACAACGCTAAGCATGACGTTGCGAGGAAGAGTACCAAATAAAGCATTCGAAGGTCCCACATCTCGGAAATAACAGGTATGCAACCCATTGAATAGTCGAAACACAACGAAGCAGGCCCAAGCAATAGCCAGATGTTCAGGGAATATAGATGAAGGTAGTTAACCACCTAGATTCACAAATATTAAGGTTAAAAGTTAAGACTGTACATTTCAAGCGATGATTATTTACACGCACAGTAGATATTTACCGCATTCCCATAAAATAAAATAATTTTTAACAAAGTGCCACGTGACTAGTAGATAAATAAGCAATAGAATATGTACCTAGTACAGTCTTCAGAGGATTTAATTCATGCATCTTCTACAGCATGGTAGGTGGTAACTAACAGCTAGTGAAGCCGAAAGATGATAAACGTCGATGTTCATTTCTCTGTGAAGTTTTCATGACCTTCACAATGCATAACAAGTGCACCGCTTGAAGGCTGTCGTCCTGAATTCCCCCTCAGCATATATGTAATATTTACAAATTTGCCAATGTTTCAGGATCCTCTGAATCTATCTTTACAGACTATTCACAAAACAGTCGAGAAGCGTTAAGCAAAATGTGAATGACGATTGCCTAGGGCGCTTTGCAGCTGTTTGAATTATGTGGCTCCT